TTTTTGTCCCCTTGGATGGTTTTCTCTGACTGGAATGTCATTTCTGCATGGTTCACTGCTGTGTCTCCTTGCCTATAGCTGTACCTGACTTTAGTCAGTATTCTAAAAGTATTTGCTGAGTGACTCTGTCCAGCTGGAGAGCTCCCACCTCCAAATAAGGGATTGGGTCTCCTCTGTCTCCATATCTGCTGAGGCAACCAAGGCAGTGACTTTGCCAGCAGAGTGGTGTGACGGCAATTTATTGCGGGCTCCTAGAACTGAGTTGTAAGAGTGGTTTGGTTCCTCCCGCGAATACCCCCTCCCGCTGCGGCCACAGACGCTCCTTCTCAGTGTGGTTTGGCACACTGCTTATCTGGCCCAACCGGCATCTCTTCACACACTGCCCTTTCCCCTTCTCCGTGCCGCATGCTTTAACCCGGCTCCGTGGCCTCTGGTGGCACCTTTGTGTGTTCTGTGCATCGGATCGGGCGTTAGGCGTTCCAAGTTGACATATGCCCTCGCAGAACGATGGGATGGGTATGGGGTCTGGGATCAGAGGACTAGGGTGTGAATCTCGGCTTTTGCCACGTACTGTCTTCCTACACCTGCTGAAGTCTGTTTTTGGTTGTCGCGGAGCCTCCTCAGTCCCTCTTTTGAAAGAAGTGAAGGAGAAGTAAATGATTCTGTAGGTAAATGCCCAGCTGGTCCTTCTGAGTTTCAGTATTCTCATGGGAAATGAAAATGATGATACGTGTGTCGCATGAATTGTGAGGATTCATTGATTTTGTTGATGGGACAACACTGTGTAGCTCCCTGTGTGTTAGTTATCTGTGGCTGTGTAACAGATTACTCCAAAACTTAGCGTATTTACCATCTTGTGCTTTCTGTGGGTTAGGAATTTAGGGAGTTTTGGCTGAGTGGGTCTGGCTCAGAGTCTCATGAAGTTATAATCCAGTTTATGGTCACCTGAAGGCTCAGCCGAGGCTGGAGACCCTGTCTCCAGTATGGCCCACTCACTTGGCTGATGGCAGGAGGCCTCAGTTCCCCACCATGTGGACCTCCCAACACGCCTGTTGTGTCCTCACGACATGGCAGCTGTCCCCCAAGACTAAGTGACCCCAGAGAGAGACCGGCGCGGAGCCGTAATGTCTTTTATGACCTGGTCTCAGAAATCGTACACATCGCTGCTTAATTTGTTAGAAGTGGGTCACTGAATCTTCTGCCCACGCTCAGGGGGAGGAGAATTGGGCTGTACTTTTGGAAGGGACGGTCAAAGAATTCGTGGGCCTATTGTAAAACCCACGCCCGTAAAGCACCATGAGAAAGTTAATTAACGTTGCTAGTAATAGTTAGAATTCATCGTGTACTCTTGGCCATGCTAAATGCATCTGCTTTGTCAGATCCAAGGAAGGCTGTTGTCTCTCAGATCCTCTGTGCCTTTTGGGTTCTATTGTGTCTGTTAATTGGCCGACAGATAATTCACAGATAGTCTTTTCTGTCTAGCCAGACTGTAGGCTCCCTGTAGTCTCCGGCCATGTCTCAGACTGTATCCTGGCCCAGGGAAGTTTTTATGAAGGGATATCTATTTCCGACCCCGAGAATATGATTCCAGAATTGTGACTCTTCATAGAAATGATGAAGTGAGGCCGAGGAGTCGGCCTGTTGGAAAAGAGAATGAACTTGGTTTTGGATACGTGTAGTTTGAGGTACCTAAAAGGCGACTGAATGGAGCCACTCAGAGGGCTGTGGAAATCTGAACTCTGAAGGCAACAAGGAAAGCCGAAGAGTGTCATGTGCAAAGAGGTAACCACTGAGGTGGTGCAGGGGATGAATTTGCCGAAGAAAAAGCAAAGGAACAGGGAAGGGGAAGGGCAGAGCCTTGGGGTTGGGGGAGGAAGAGGAAGCAGTAAGCTGTGGTGGGCGGGAGGAAACAGAGTTGTGGAAACCAACAAGGAGAACATTCCAGAAAGGCGATCTGCCCTTTCAAAGAGGTATGAAAGGGTGAGGGTTAACAAGAGGCCACTGATGACCATCCAGGGTGTGGTTTCGGAGTGTGAGGGGTTCATAGCCGGATTGTAAAGGGTTAAAGGAGGCATGGGTTGTGGAGAACAAAGTGCCAAGTGTGTTTCAAGCGAAGAGGGAGGGTAGGGTCTCGACGCGGCAGAGTTGGGTTCATCTTAGGTTGGGTGACCCACACGGGAGAGCCTGGGATGTCAGAGAGAAAAGATTGTTTGGGTTGAGTTTCCCGGGCAGGAGATGGAGGAGAAATGAGGGGCACGTTAGCAGGAGGGTTGACTTGGTGAGACCAATAGCTACCTGTGATCAGAATCTGGGACCGATGGGAGGAGGGAAGAGTTTGAAAGATGCCTCTCAGGGAGCGCAGCAGATGCCAACAAGATCAACTAGAGGCTTCCAAAGCAGCCTTGGGACAAGTGGCACGAACGTATGGTGGGTGTCACCTGCAGAATTTTGTGACTTTTGTCTAGCAGCAGGAAATTCAAATGCGGAAAGTGGTCTGTGTCGGTTTTCCCAGGTTGGGGATTTGCCGAAGTCTGGTGGAAGATCCAGGAAATTAGGAATTCTGTTCTGTCTCTAAAGATGGGTGATGCGTGAGCTATCACTCAGCAGGTGGCATATAGGTGTGCAGGATGCCCGTGAGGTTATGAGCACCTGATGTGAGAGCAGACAATTCTGTCCTTTTTTTTTTTTTTAACTTTTTTTTTTTTAACGTTTATTTATTTTTGAGACAGAGAGAGACAGAACATGAACGGGGGAGGGTCAGAGAGAGGGAGACACAGAATCTGAAACAGGCTCCAGGCTCTGAGCTGTCAGCACAGAGCTTGACGCTGGGCTCGAATTCACGGACCATGAGATCATGACCTGAGCCGAAGCCGGCCGCTCAACCGACTGAGCCACCCAGGCGCCCCTCTGTCGTTTTTGGTTTTTTTTTTAACGTTTATTTATTTATTTTGAGAGAGAGAGAGAGGGCATCATGTGTGAGAGTGGGAGAGGGGCAGAGAGAAATAGGGAAAGAGGAAGAGAATCCCAAGCAGGCTCTGCACTGTCAGCATGGAGCCCGACAAGGGGCGT